GGAATTTGATGTTAGCACGTTGTTCTGCATTAGCACTCAGCATTATTCCGACGGAGCTCAGAAACACGATCCGCTTCTAACAATGGTCGCGGCCAGACTAACCGATGCACGTGAATGAAACTTTGTGTGACGGTAGAGGGAAGTCCAAGGGTCAATGCCCTACCCTCCTCTTCGTCAATGACGTGGCCGGAAATGAGTCATAAAAGTAATCCGGGTTCTTTATTGCCACACCTTGTATGTATTGAACTTCATGCAGTGATAAAAATGACTTGCAAACTTGGTTCTAAGAGTGATGCAATGAAATACAAATACTTGGTACAGATAATCTTCTTGTCCCATTTGGAGGTGAGTTAGAATACCTCCACCTTAGCCTTGTGGGTCATTAAAGGTGATGAAAAGAGAATACAGTGCCTGGGGCTATCACTGGGCCACCCTGTGACTAATGGACATACATACAGAGACCTTGTCCTCCAGGTTTGGGTTGGGGGTTGAGTGCAAGGCTAGTCACCATACTGTGTAAAAAAATTACTGTTGCAAAATCCAAAGGGATGAAAACTGGATGCTCTAATTCCCAGGATCAAACAAATCTGGCAGAATATTCTGAGGAAGGCTATAGCTCAATTTATACAGTGTTGCCTGAGAAATGAAATGGGATAATGAATAATTAGTAAGGCCTTGTCGTTTAAGATGCTGTTCCAGAATTAGCTTGGAAAAACATGAGAGCCTCAGTGTGGTCAGTCTCACCAATATTCAAATTGGAGACTTCCCAGATATGAAGCAGAAATTATAACCACAATACTGAATTGCTTGGTTTGTACTATTTGCCATAACTTGTAATCTGAGGTACAGTTTTCATAGGAAGTCATTATTAGGGTATACTTGTGCTCTTATTAGCCTCCAATCAGATGGACAGGGTGGTAAGAATTATTCACAGTAAAACTTATGGCAAATGCTGTTATCAAGGAAGCCAAGTCTCTCAAAGGGCTATAATGCCAGATAAGAAGAAGAGGAAAACTTGTGGCTTCATGTTATGATGCTCCTTACATCTCAGCCATGATTCATAATTCAATACTAGAGTCAGATTTTTGAGGTTTTTTTTCACATTACCTTATTCAGACCAGTAGGAAATCTTCATAGATGGTCACACTTCTTTTATCAGAGCACGAAACAGGAGAACTTTGACAGATGTGCATGTCCCATACCGGATTCAGCCTCATGATCCTGGCATTTGAGATGTTCCTAGAATCAGGCATGGATACATTTGTTACTCTGTACTGTAGGCCATGCCATAGCTCAAGCAGTTAGTCGCTGGCTTCCCACCGCGTGGGCCCAGGTTCGATCCCGCGTCTGGTCAAATGGGATTTGTGGTGGACAATGTGGCGCTGGGGCAGGTTTTCTCCAAGTACTTCAGTTTCTCCTGCCAATCTTCATTCCACCAAATTTTCCATCATCATCATCATAATCACCCAGGGCAGGTACAATAGGCCACTCAGTGGCCACCGTGCCAAGTGGACCCAGCTGTAGTCCACCCTCCACTAGCGAATTATTTACTCTGTACTGTAACCTTTTGTTGCATGGAATTTTACAGTGCTTGTTGTGAGTATCATGTGTTTGTTGTCATTAAAAAATATATTTTCTTAAACACATTTCATATTGTCAGTATTTTACAGTGTCCTTGTAACTAGTAGTGTAAATAAAGCCATTAAGACTGTCTGGTCTCTTACTCAGGTCCAGGAATATTGCCAATTGAAAAATTTGTGTATTCTGTATTGTACAACATATCTCTCATTTTTAGATCGTTCAGCAGCTGTTTGTACAAGATGTAATCTGCCGAAGCATGTATGATGATCTGATGAAGGAAGAAATGCTGGTAAGTTATGAGTTGTTTTTAAAGAGATGCAGAAGTGAGTTTCTTAGTTGGAAGAGGATATATAATGTAGGGAACCTGATGATCTCTGGATATGACCCTGGATGTCACAGACGGTTCTGAATTTGATTCGTCACCACATCTGTCCGCCTGCTTACAGGCTCCCTCCTCCCTTTGATTCAGAACACATGGTAAGCTGTGGGACCAATCTGCCAACCTTTGTTGTTATAATCGCTGCGTCGTGGGGAATAACAGAATCTACCCTCTTACAGTATAGAAGGGATTCCATGCTTAGCTGGGCAATGACCAGCAGAGGTTAAACAGGTCATATCTGGAGGCATCAGGAAACAACACATTTTGAACAGTGCTATCTGTATGAAGTCACTTTTTTATTTATTTATATAATTTTTTTTTCTGTTTCATGTTCATCTGTTACCTAATTACACAGTAGTGAAAGGAGTTCAGAGTTTACTGATGTCTATTAAATGTTTTAAGTGTATCTACAACAACAACAGTAATGATGATGATGATAAAGTCATTATCATAATAATTACAAAAGGCCATTTACTCCACCCTGTTTCTTCGAAATGTCATGCTGTAGAAGAAGTTCTGTGAAGGTTCCCCTTAATGAAACAACTCCAGGAAAGCTGTTAATTTTGCTGCTGTATGCATGGGTTTGAGTTCAAGCCAGCTAATCTTGCCATTACTTTCCCCATAAAGGGATACAGTGAGATCATGGCATCAGTGGGACTGTAAGCTTTTCACGTTCTGTAGTAGCCACAGTAATGAGGCAACATATCATGATGGCACTGAATGTGTAAACTTTGTATGTTTTATAGTAGCCATGGCAACAATATGTCCTTACATTATGGTGTGGAGTTATTCATTTTCATTTTTATTTTAAGAAGAATTAGCTGATGTGAGTTGTTATAGTGAAGTTGGTTTAGGCTCTATGCTACAAGCTGGAAGGTCATGGATTTGATTTCTGATTAGTTCATTTGATTTTTCAATTGACGTAATCCTTCCAGCTGCACTATAGCCCTGGGGTCGACTCATCTCGAACAGAAATGAATACCAGGAATATTCCTAGGAGCAAAGGGCAGCTGGCGCATAAGGCTGACAGCCTTGTGCTTTGTTTTCCTGCTGTACTGTTTTAGCTTGGGAATTTAATTATACAACTACAGTATTTTAAAATTAGCATTTTGTCTGTTGTGCAATTGTTGTCATTAAACAAGATGGCATTTCGTTTTCTTGTTTGATTTTTGTGCATGTTGTACCATATTCTTACATATTTCATACAGAAAGCTACAGGTCAAAATGGATATAGTAAACCTGGAGATGAAGCTAGGACTGCTAGCATGTCTATGGTACAGCTGTTAGGTGCTGCAGGAGGCCTACAGATGGAATAGAAGTATTGCGAGGTGAGTGGATGTTGTCGTACACATCATACCCAACACAGTCACAGCCACTGAACAGTTTTGCTTTGGCCCTTATAACATGTAGCTAGTCCCTGGAATATTTAGTTCTTGTCTCCGACCATGTTTTCAACAGATGAGCCTGTGACATCATGCTCATAGTGCTATAAGCATTATATCTGGGACAATGAAAATGCTACTGCCAGATATTAGGCTAGTTTAGATTTGGTGTAGTTTTATGGCTTGAATTTAATTTGTTATATGATTGGTCATAAAAATGTAAGGGATAAGATACACAATATTATAATTTTAATTTTTGTTTTTTGGTGTGAAACTTGATGTCTCACCCAGAAATAAGAAGGTAAAATGAGTGTTTGAGAACAGTATAGGGAACAAAATTTGATTCTGAGGATGGAAATAATAAGGAGATGGGGAAAATACATAATGAGAAGCTTCATGATGTGTGTTTTTGTTTTATATTATTTGTGGATCAAATCAAGGAAGATGAGATGGGCAGGATGTATAGCAAGCATATGTGGGGGAGATGAGAAGTGCATTCAAAATTTTGGCTTGCAAAACATAAAGGAAGAGAAAGTTGGGAGACGTTGGTGTTGATGAGTAAAAGGTAAAGTTGCTCCTTTGCTTAATTAATTAAGCAAGCACCATGCCATTCAGACCTATTGTGGAGTGGAGGTATAGCTCCCTTTTGACCTCTGTACCAGATGGAGATGAGTGGTCAGCTTCATGCCCTGGCCCTCGCCACTTAACCCCCAGGGGAAGACCCTCCCCCAGCCTCCTGGCACCCAGTGGATGGCCCCCAGAAATGGTTGGGCCCTGGAGAAAAAAACATTTGTAGGATGTGGCTTGGCTTCATTATTCTTGGTTTGGCATGGCTTGGTGTGGTCTTGTGTGACTTTGCTTTTGAATTGGCTTTGACCCTACTAGGTAAGGTTAGGTTGAGTTTGGTATGTTTTGCATTGAGTTAATTTTGGTTGAATTAGGATATTTAGTTAGTTACTTAGTTATTGGAGAGGGTGGCTTTCCTCATGCACTTAGACCAGTATTGGTCCATTGTGCTTCCCTCTATGATATTCTACTAGTCTCTATACCCTACTGATATTGGTGCGTACCATCAGTCCCGCCGAGCCAGCAAGTTGGGCCTCCACTAGCTTGGCGGTGTCTGTAATGCTTCCCCCATCTATCAGAGGCCTTAGAGACTATTGTTGGGCAGGAAACATCCTTGAATTTGGCTCAGTGATCTCCTTTGGAGATATGAGGTTCTTTTACATGCCGTAAAGCTATGACATGGGACACATGGCTTAAAGTCCCTCCCAGAGGACTTGTTCTCTGAATTTTTCCGCCCTTAAAAATTCGACTACCTCTGCCGGGTATTTGAACCCACGTACCACGAGTCATGAGGTGGGAACGTTACCTCTAGACTACGGATGCCGCTAATTAGGATATTTAGTTTGTGTTTGATAGGTTGCTCAGTATACTCATAGATGTAGGCTATCTAGTATTGATTATACATTTTCTTATATTTCAGATCACTTGATTAAAAAGGGCAATGGAAAACATATTGTATGGCTTCAGAGAATTCTGATACAAGCATGCCATGTAAAGTTGAACTGTGAAAAAGGTTGCATGCCAAGCAAAATGGCTGCAATGGAACCAGTTCCACACCATTATACATGTAAGCAAATGTCAGTATACCTCACCATAATTAACACATAATGGTGTTTGTTTAATCATGGTTGTCAGATTTCTTCAGAACTTGCAGTGTTAATTTCTTCACAGTTGTTGAATTATCATTATTTTGATATTTCTAGTTTTTAATGGTATTGATGTCTTTTTCATTATCAGAATTACTGATACATGTATAAAGAAGATTTCAAAGGGTGTACACAGTGTGGCATTTTTTAGTTCAAGTTTACTTTGTGGGCTCTGTAAAATCTGATGTTTTATGATATACATGATGAAGTCCCTTTATGGCCTTAAGTAAGTAGCACTCTATGGGTCAGTATGGCTGAAAATTAGAATTGCTTGACAACTTTTAGTGAGAATTTCCCATATAATATTTTTATGTTGGTTATGTCTTTGTTACTCATCCATAGATGGACAGACTACATGGTTTTATACAAATCTGCGCAAAGACCTCCAATATAAAATGTTATCAAAATTTGTTCAGTGGTTCTGAAGTTACAAGATGATACTGTAAAAAGAAATTCAGAATTATAACATGCAAGATTAATGGATGAAGTGTATTAGGTGTAAAATTCCATATTTAATATTTCTCTTCCACTTTTGTTTGAAACATTTCTGCTCTAATAAACATTTAGAGGGTTTCACTTGATGTGCATGCAGAAATATATGTAGGTCTCCCTTTTTAAAAGCAAAATTGCGTGCATGCAGAAATATATGCAGGTCTCCCTTTTTAAAAGCAAAATTGCTGATATCTTTCAGTAAAATTTCCACGTATGAAGTTAAATGAAATCTAATTGTTTGGGTGCTAATGCTAGGTTAGAAATGAACCAGACATGCCCTCTACATAAGGTATTCTTTTTTACTTGGTAAAGAATGCCCAAACATTATGTACCAAAAACTATTCCTGTAATAGGCTGTAGAGGTTTATGAAATGTAGAGGATTCCACATTTTGTAGATAGTTGGCTCAAAGATGGTGATGAGGTTGCCAGTTTTACATGCCAGCCCCCCAAAAAATATATATACTACAGATTCTTTTATAGAATTTGTCAGTTACTTTGAGGTTCAATTGGTTGGTTCATTCAAATATAGTACATGTAACTGAGGAACAGTATGGCCCATTTTACTAAACTAACACATAAGTAATGTTCATTTTATTGAAATAATGAGGTGTATATATCACTTTCCCCTACAAAAATTTTTTAAATCTCTGGAAGTGGCAGTTTTCATGCTTACCTAATTTCATTTTTCCCACTTTTTGTGATGTTACCTGGAAGGTAAACAGTTCAGTGGTATGGATCATTTGTGTGAACATATATATGGGGCATCCTCCTTGACTTGTACATGTTTTTGTTGCGTGGGGTAGCTTTATCTCGAAAGAAGACCCCCATCCTACTGATGAGGACATAAAATGATACCGAGATGTGTCTGTGACACCTTTCATGGTTAGATTTCCTGACAGAAGTGAATGAAAAGATGGGTTTCAACCTAATAAGCATGGGGAAGGCGGAAGCTTACTTAAGCCTTAGCAAATACACCACAGTATTCCAAGCAGAAGTGAATGCCATCAATGCATGCACAGTAGGGAATCTGCATAGGGACTGTAAAAATAGAAACATTTATATTCTGTTGGAGAGAAAAGCTGCAATTATATCATTAGGCAATTACAAGATCTGCTGCAAACTGGTTTAGAACTGCCATCAATCCCTTCTGAAACTAGCTAAACATAACAGAGTTCAGCTGATATATGTTGTTACGCCCGAAATGTTTATGTACAAGTAGATATGTTTTTCGGTTAATTTAGAATAAGTGTTTTTAGACAATAAGATTAAGAAATAGAAATAATGAAATGTACTTTTAAACTGGAGTTGCAAAGAAGGGTAATGCAAGTAGTTAGGCAACAGTTTTGTAATCCGAGTGTTAGCACGACAGCGTAATAACGCTGACACTAAGGAAGAGGCTATATGAAAGTAGAACAGAAAGAACTAGGGCATTGGGAAATCGCCGAGTCAGAGAGGGTGGTAGAGTAGAAAGCGCAAATCTCCTTTCGATAAACAGTCAATGAGAGCAAGCCACCCCAACCAAATTCACGCCAGAATGGGCAGGTGAATACACACCCGGAACCCAGCGAGTCAGCAAAAAGAGGGTACAAAAACACAAAGGGATCAAACCCCCGAGAGCTTAATTGTCGATACAGTGTGGCCGAAGGCTATCGCCGAGAGAGAGAGATGGCGCTGAGTAGATGTTGGTTGGTGGTGTGTGCCTGCTTCGTCAGTACAAGTAAGTGGACCTACTTCATATAAGCCATGAACATTGAGTGTGATAACATTAAAGTGCAAACCCCAGGGAGAGAACGTGAGGACCAGACGGGCTAGGCTTAACAGAGAAAGCGAGAGACAGAGGTGTAGGATACCTGATAGCTGGGTGACAGGAAGAGAACGAATGTCTGTACTACAGGTTTAATAACCTAAGTGAACTGCGAACCCGACAAACGTCGGCACATTGTGTATATATTATGTATATAGGGATCTATGAGAATAGAATAGAATAGAAAAATGGTGTAACGTTAATGAACCTATTTTTCCCTCACGTGCGAATCCTCCTCCCTGACGATCCCGGCATCCCCCCAAATCCTTCAGGAGAATTGCAAACTCAAACCAAGGCTGCAGATACCTCAGTGATTAATGAATTTACCTAGCCCCCTTGTGGCAGAACAATTGGTGACAGTGGGGCTGATTAGCCAAAGAGAAGGCTGACAAAGTGAATTAGTAGTGGTCTTTACCCACCCCTGTTGCCACGGCATAACATGTGCTGCAGTATGAGGGTGTGGGAACATCCCACATACTAACATGCAGTTTTGCCGGTCTAACGGACAACACTCACTCCTAGGTCAATATCACATTGTTGCACATGGCTGCCAATGCTCATATTTATACAGCACTCGATGTCCAACCCACCTGTAGATCATCATGTGTGCTAACCAATCACATTGCTGCCAACACTCGTATTAATACAGCACTCAATGTCCAACCCACTTGTAGATCATCACATGCGCTTGCCAGTCAGCGCTCACAATAGCAACTGCAAGTTTAAACTCCGCCCAGCAAGCATGGTATAAAAATCCAGAGCCCAGAACTAGCAATAGTTAGTGATCACATTCAGTTAAGAGCTATCAGTCATCAGAGTCATCAGCTCTTCAATGCTACCAGACAGCTAACGTAGCTGCCACAACTCTCCAGCAACCACGCTCTGCGACCAGGCAACTAACGTAGCTGCCACAACTCTCCAGTCCACACCGTATGCAGCTGTTCCTACCGGCGCACGCAGCACCACATCACCGGCCAGACAAACCAGCTGAACGGCCGTAAAGTCTTGATCTACTACAGAGGAGCAAATTCTGCCAGCGCACTCTCGGTGGAACAAACTGCCATTTTCATGGCCATCCAACTTTTGACATTCCACATAGCTTCGCAGCTATTCTGTACATTCAGTTTATACAATTTAATATATACAATTGTTACAGTTTTATGTGGTTGTCTTTTAGAACATTGACAATCCCACAAGGGTATTGAAGGTAGTGAAAATGCTGATCAATTGGCAAAATTGGGATCTGAATGTCCGCTTGTAGGACCTGAACCAGATTGCGGCATCTCAGCGGGAATTGTCGAGAGGGCTGTCAGGGACTGAACAAACAGAGACCATAATAAATAGTGGGAGACCTTAACAGGACTCAGACAGGCAGAGGGATTCCTATGAGGACCCATTGTCAGAATAACCAAGGAACTGAAAACTAAACAGAAACTGGTTGTGTTGGGTGATAGGACTACTCACAGGACACTGTCATCTGAAAGCATACATTTTGAAAATGGGATTAATGAACATTCCCTTTTTTTTTATTGCTAGTGGGTTGGGACTAAGTCCCTTGTACTGCAGCCACTTCTGGCTTATTGTACCAGCCCCAGATGATAGGTGAGGTTTATTGTGGAGCAACTGGTGGAATGAAGATTGGCAGGGGAAACCAAAGTACTCATAGAAAACCTGCCCCAGCGCCACTTTGTCCACTACACATCCCAGTCGACCAGACCAGGGATCGAACCTGGGCCACTGTGGTGGGAAGCCAGTGACTAATCAGTTGAGCTATGGTGCAGACCCAACATTCCCATTAGTGAAAGGTGAATCCACCACATACATCCAATGCAACTGTGAAACTAAAGCTGAATTAAGGGTTCATCATGTGGTCACTACCTTATGGAGCCAGGTAACACCAAGACACCCCTGTAAGTGAAACACATCACTTTAGGTGAAGCATAGGATTGTTGAAGGGATGAAAGGGGGATGCGCAGCAGATCACTGTTGGTCGTTGTGCAAGGACCGGTTAAGGCCTTTCGTAGCTTTGTCTAAATATTCCTGTCCTTTCGATTTTCAGCTGGAGTTTATTATATGGCTGCAGCTTTATATGGTACGCTGCATAGAATGTTGAGGGATTCCTGATTTGGCAGACACAGCACATACCATCTTCAACATTAATCTAATTCTGAGGGTTGTGGAAGCTTCCACAATGTGCAGTAAATTTGAGGTGCAGCCATGAAGAAGTGGAGCACCATCCAGTAAGGCACAGCCATGCAGTTAGTAAAAATAAGTGTTTTGGCTACCAGGTAGTCCTGAAAGGGGCTAATAAGAAATGTCTCAGTGAATGTGTTAAGGATGAGATGACGGAAATGTTTTTGGCTTCCATGTGGTAAATAGAAGAGGCAATGAAAATGATCTTAGTGCCTATGTGTTTTGGAAGAAAATTGCTGAACAAGTATTTAGTAACCACATGGATAGGAGAAGGGGTGATGATACTGTCATCATTTATTTATTTACATGCTTATGGAAGGATCTGTTGAAGAAGTTCATCGTGCCAGCTGTGTAGGTCTGCTTTAGTTAATGATTGTTCGATGAAGGCGGTTAAAAGGCAGGAGGTTGACCATGTGGATGCTGAAACATTTTTCATCACATCTTTCATGGGCCATCTGGTCTTCAGATTGTTTCTGATCACCTGTTTTCATAATCTGTATGGTCACTCCTTAGTGTATAGCACTTCACTCCTCTGATTTGTCTAATCATTGTATAACCTCCCACTGCTGACTGTGAGACATGTAGAAGACCTTCCATAACCCTCCCCTAAGATATTAACCCTGAAGGTGGCAATTACAATGTTTGCCAAAACAGGAAACCTTCAACATTCTATGCAGTGTATTCTTGAAAGCCAAAGGCATATTTTTCTGTAGTATGTCCCAGAACTTAACAACCATGAAAACTTTGATTGAAGATCCTAATACAGGTTATATTCCTTATTTGAATTTTGTGCTGTAAGACTAAGGGTCCTGGATGTTTTGAGTTCAAGACAGGTTTCTATTTAACACAGATACTTTGAGATAAAAAATGTTATGTAGTTCATGTCGCCATGTATCACAAGCCAGAAATTCCTGCTGTATATGCACACTGCGCATATTGAGAAACATATTTGTTGTATTTCTTCTTTCCCTTTCTGATAGTCATTAAAATATTGTGTATTTATTTTGTCAGTGGTCAGGTTCAGTTTTTTTCCATTGAACACAGAATGTTCCTTGTCAGATAAATTCCACATGCTGCAGTGGGGAGCAAAATTACGTGAAGAGGTAAACGTGTTTTCATGAAACTTTTTCCTCTTAACTTCTTACTTTTCTGTGATAATCAGTTTCAGACAATTTTGCATTTATTGTCATTCTGCATTCTTATGAACAAAGAAATTTTCTAATGGAGACAGATTGCTGCTTGATCCAGGCTTATTTTTGGATAAGTTTTACTGTATATTTACTAGTATACATAGCTGTTATGTGAGCTAGAATTGAGAAAATAGATCAGTAATTCTGAATGACTGAAAAGTGACATTTGGGATATGTGTGTCTCCTGTTGAACATACAGAGTGAGTTGTTTGGTTTCATGCAGTGATGAATCAGTCCATCCCTGTTGTTCCATGGAACTTGGAACAAACGAACATATTATTATACCAGCCATTCATAATGCTCCTGCATAAGCTTGGATTTCACCTGCCAGCAGACTCGGGCAAAATATCTGTCCGCATTCCCAACTTCTGGACTGCTGATGTACTGTTCAGCATAGCACAGAAACTGGGGCCCCGTTGATCCTTGTAAGTGAAACTGGCAGGATGTCAGAATCATAACTGTGCCAGAGTTAACTAATTAAATAATTAACTCATGGATCAGAGTTCTTCTTGGTAAATTGCTCAGCTAGTCAATAAACCCCCTGACTTTTATGGAACCTGAAGGTTCATTGACATGCCCCAAGAGCTTGCCACCTATCCCTGTCCAAATGAAATAAATCCACCCACTTCCAACCTATTTCTTTAAGGTCTACTTTAATATTATCCTCACAAAGTAAATTAACAAGTAATGAAAGTTACTGAGAAATATTCATCCTGTCTTACAGGACAACTTGACGTCCCCACGTACAAAATCCTGCTCTTCGTTCGAAGTGCAGTATTTCTGAGGGGATAATCAGCAGGGGAGGCACAACAGATCACTGTGGTCGTGGTGCAGGGGCCAAGAAGGCCCATCCCTTATACATTCATTCATACAGGACAACTTTTTATATCTTTTATTCTGCCTGGAATTCATATAATAAGTATTAATGGTACCTGCTGGTTTCAGTACAGTATACCAAGTAACTGATGGTGGAGTAATACTCAAGACCAGTGGTGTGCCGTGCATGGAAGCAAGGGAAGCATTGCTTCTGTAGTTAAGAAATGAAAAGAAAAGTAATATATAAATAATTCAATTTGAATAATAAGGATTTGAATTTTGTCATTTAGCGCATGTTCCTGCTCAAGGCCACATGCCTCCTCTGCCTGCTCCCTTTTCCTGCTTGGAGGGTTGACCAAGTTTCCTTCGTTAAACTTCAAAATAATTCGTCTTACCCGAAGTGGGAAAGGAAGCAACTTTCGGTTTGCTGGCTAAAGCCTGTGATATGGAAGTGAAGGACTGTGTTCTTTCGATGGTTATGTGAAAAGTAACTGTTTATGTGTGATTTCAGTCTTGTTGGGTGCCCTAGGTAACATTAAGTTTTATTAAAATATTGAAAGTGCATATTTATATGGCGTAAGAGTGTATCTGTGATCGTATTTTGACGCATCAGAAAGAAGCTCTCTGCGTTTAAGGGAAGCAAGTGCAGTATTGCAGTACATGGGCAGGGGCATGATTAGACTACACGCACAGGGAACAGCTAAAATGAATGCTGGCAGACAACGCGACTGCGACTGTGCAATCGAAAGCCTTTTAAAACGGAGGTTTAATAGCAGGGACTTTTCTGAAAAGAAAATGATTATAGAAAGAGGACGACCGACATGCCATTTGCCAGAACTTAAAGCACAGACCAAATTATGTGTGAGGGAATTTAATTTGGAACAGTATTCTAAAACAGAGTGACTATCCGGTTGCCGTAATATAGGAAAATTGTTTTGTTCGCCATGCCTATTGTTTCTCAATGAAAAAAAATGTATGGAACAAGACTGGGTTTGGTGATATCAACAATCTTCATAAAGCACTGAAATGACATGAGAACTCTCAGACTCACATTATTTCAACAATGCAATTTGTCATGTTCGGGAAATCTCGAATTGACTATCAACTTGACAATCAAAAGCACCTAACGATACTACAGCACAATGAAAATGTGAAAAAAAATAGAGAAATAATGAAACGCTTGATTGATATCATCTGCCATTTAGGAAAGAGGCAACTTGCCCTCCGGGGTCATGACAAAAGCGTGGATTCTATCGACCGAGGTAATTATGTGGAATTAGTTCATTTGTTGAGGAAATATGATCATAAACTTAATGTTCACCTTGAAAACAGTGCAGTATTTGCAGGTTTATCGAACAGAATACAAAACGACCTTATTGACTCAATAAGTGACGTAATTCTAACAGAAATCAAAAGAGAAGTAAGCTCGGCCCCTTTTGTTGCTGTAATGGTTGACGAGACGACAGACATTCAAAGCCAATCACAGCTCTCATTCGTATTAAGATATGAGACTAGTAATGGTGAAATACAGGAACGGATTTTAGGATTTTCGGGTGTGAGTGCTGATCGAACTGCATCGGCGTTAGCTGAACGCGTTATAGACTGTGTAGTTCAGTATGATTTTGGCAGCAAAATAACGGCCAAATGTATGATGGAGTGGCGGTCATGTCAGGTGAACTTAATGGGCTACAAACTAAAGTGAGAGACATTTCCAAATGCCATGTTCATACATTGTATGGCACATAAGCTTAATCTTGTACTTTCACCGTCTGTCTCTAGTATTAAAGAGTGCAATGTGTTTTTTCAAAACACTGAACAGCTTTTCTTCCTTTTTCTCTACATCTTCTAAAAGGACGCACTGTTTGGACCAAGAAGTGAAAAGAGGTTTCTGAAAGTCGCACCAACCAGGTGGAACTATAACAGTCGTCTAGTAGAGACAGTATGTGAGTACAAATTTGAATTGAACACCATGTTCCAAAATATAATTGAAAATCCAGATAACTGGGATAATGAAACGTACTTTGCCGCTTGAGGATTTCTTTCTGTGCTGCAAGATTTCAACTTTAATTTTCTTCTTGCTGTTTTCAAAGATTTGTTTTCAGTAACCACCGTTCTTTTCGACATACTACAAACAAAATCAAATGACATATCTTTTTGTATCCCTAAAGTGACCGAAGGAAAAGAAGATATATCCAAGAAAAGAGAAAGCTTCGAGAACGTATTCTTTGAAACGTCCTCAAATGAAAAAATTGATGAACCACAGCAAATGATTGCGTCTTGACAATGTAGGAGACGTAAAAAAATGCTTCAGAAAACTTTATTATGAAAGTTTTGATAATGTTGCGAATCAAATTGAATTAAGGTTTCAGAACTTAGAAAAGCTAAAGTTTCTTGAATTAATAAATCCTAGTTGCAGTAAGGAGTATGAAAAGACATTTCCTAAAATTTCTTTTTTGTCACTGAAAATGGCAAATTTTCCTCGTTTAAGAAGTGAACTGAGTGTATTTTATTCTAATGAAGATTTAAACATCCAGAATGCAAGTCACCTTTTGCTACATCTAAAAACTACAAACATCGACAGTGTACTACACCAGCTGACAAAGTTATGTGAACTGATCGTGACAATTCCTGCAAGTAGTGCTTCGGTTGAACGTTCATTTTCTGCAGTGAAGAGAATTAAAACTTACACTAGGAACTCTCAAGGGGAAGACAGAATGTCCAGGTTGTCTCTGTTGTCCACTGAGAAGAAATTATTGGAAAACATTCGCAACAGTGAAGGCTTCTACGACCATTTCATCAATAATTTTGCTACTAAGAACCAGAGAATAGATTTGGTCTTCAAATAAATTTTGGTGAGTTGATTACTATCAGTTAATTTATTAGGCACCATTGCTTCCCTTACCAAAAATACTACCGCACGCCACTGCTCAAGACTTGTATGTAGAAGGTAGGCAGTTTGAATCTGAACCTGGCTTACTGAGGTATATGTGGATTGCCTGTCTCTTCAGAAGACTGTCAGGGTAGGTCTTTCAGAAAGGCCACAGACATTGTCTTTAATGTCCTTACGTATGTAATGCCATGATCATCTCGTTTGATGCTTTATGAACTCTGTAGTTGAGAAGTGTCATTAAATTACCTAGGAGTCAGTCAGTAAATCTGTAAAATAACAATTTTATTGTAGAACCTGAATTTGGAGAGAAAACAATCCTCCAAAACACTGGATACCTGTTTATCAGGAGACTGGATATGTCCAAAAGGACTCCAGTAAAGTACAGAATCATTGTTACAGACATTTAGAACTGGCGTCAGGTATTGTCTGTAGTTTGGTTTAATTTTTTAAAATTCTTTACACAAAATAATACTTTTGTGTGTATGTGTATGAACTAGCTCAGTGCTTTTAGAAACTTTGGCAGTCAGTGGTGTCAGATGGTTACCCCATCATGTATTTCATGTAGAGAGTCTTGCTTCATTTAGAAATGTCTGAACCATTGCAGCATATTGGTAACTGGATCCCAAGATTGACATAACAGTGAAACCCGTGTGATTGAAAAATTCCACCCTAATTTTGCACAGCTGTGAAATCATTATGGTACCATGGTCAGAGCAAGCATGTGAGGCTATGATGGTGGCTTCATGTGACTTTAATGTGCCATATAGTCAGGCGTCTCACTGCCATAGGTTAACAAATTTACAGCACTTGTTTCCAAACTTCATATAGGGGTCTGCATCATAAGTTTTCAAGTTAATTAAATTGTTTCATATTGGTAGCTTATGTAGCCACTCCTGACCATGAAACGGGCATATCTTAAGTAAGTTGTACAAATTTCCTTTTGAAGTGACGTGGGCTGTTTCTAGGAAACGAAGTGGCAGTTATGTTGCCACAGAGGGATTGTTTCTTGGAAATCAGTTGATTACAAAACACAGTTTCCAGGGATACAAAGACTGGAAGTTGTAAATACTTAGGAAACCAAACCATTGATTAGGTATTAATACATGATTCCCATGACAACACAACAGAACAGGGAACTCTCTAAGACATTATGACTTCTATCCCAGCTGCATGGCAGCTATGAAAGGAGATGATTTATGGATTCAGAAGAGTGGAGACCAATCTGAGATTCAGACAGCAGTGAGAGATTAGTGAGAAATTCTTCATAGGTGTCTGACAGATGTCGTTCAGAAGGAGTTCAATGTGTGAGCTGTTACAATTGACTGTAATTGTAAAGAAGTGCCAGTAAACCCAATCATCAAATTTAGAACCCATTATTATTTGTAATGCAAATCCCTAATACATGACAGTATTGTTTTATGTAGTGTATATTTTACACAGTGCAAGAAAAATAGCACATTCCTTCATCTTTATGGCCTTGTCAGTAGACATGTATGTTGCTCAACATGACAGAATTTTAGCCCTCATTTCTTCCATAACAGCAGAAACCAAGACAGGTAAGAGAAATGATACAAGAAAACTATGTGATATCAGGAATAAAGTGAATGTCAAGGCCATATAGGAATACAAATTCTCAAAAGAATGCATATTAAAACTTACTTTGTGTGTGGTACTGTTACGGGAATGGAAATCGTTGTTGTGTTTAAGAACTACCTTATACAGATTTTAAGTCATATCTTTCTTTTTCTTTGTTTTCCTCTAGCAACGTTGAAATTTGACATTAGTTTGTTGACTGTTAAAGAAGATAATGTGACCAGCCAAGATGCAGGAGTAGTGGAGTCCAGTCTGGTGGACAGTAGCCTCTTTGCTGTTCCTTGTATGAAACAGGCTTCCTCAGTGATCCAGTTTACATCTCTGTGAGTGCCCTCATTGGTTTTATTTGTGCCTGCTGTTGATTATTCCATTATTTGTAGGGTATCCAAATGTGTAAAATATACCACAAAACAGAAAACAAAAATGTAACCACATACTATTTAAATGTCACAATGGCTTCCAGAGTGAGTGAGTCAGTTTTTACGGATTATTGTAGGGTGAAATTTTTTAGTAAAACGTAATGGTAAAGTTGTTCTGGAGAGGTCACCTCTGGTAACGATTGGATAGGAGGATGGCTGGGCCCCAGAGATTGTCTGGACACTGTGAACGAGAAAAATTTTTCCCCTGCAGGGGATCGAACACCGGCTGCCCAGCCTGTAGCACATTGCTACACTGACTAAGCTATCCAGGCTTTCAAAAATTTGTAATAACTTTTTAATTACATAATCGTGGTCGAAAGATGTACTCCAATTATGAATCCATGGAATTTTCCAGTGTACTCTCCCATATAGGTGTTGTTCATTTGCAGATAAAACTCTGTTGTTGACAGAACTAATCATCAGTAAGAAGCACTGTACTGAATAGGTGCATACATTATTTATCTTTATATTTCATAATTGTATACCACATATGAAGTATTTCACATAAAAATTTAAGAGATCCTAGAAATATATTACATACTCATTTTTTATGATGAATACTTTTGATAATATTGATAATGTTTCATATGAGGTGCATATAAAGCTTAAATTGTAATTGACCACTTCAGACCAATTGAAATATATCCAGCAACTTAAAGTTTAGAACTGCCATACATTCTGTAAAACTTCTCGTAAGTGTATATAGTTAGGTTAAACCATCACCACAACAAAAATGTATACTCAATTCAATGTCTTATAATTAAAACTTGTATTTCTGCTGCATGTTTTGGTCACATAGGATCATCATCAGGCAGTTAATATAGGATGTGTCTGGTCACTGAATTGCTAATAGGGATCCATACTAGTGCACCATGTTATACTGTATGATAACACAGTTACATAATAAGTATTATATAATATAATCTATATAATAAGTATATAAAATAGAGAATATATACATGTATGCATGTGTATATAGGATATATTAAAAACTGTATACAAGTACACTGATTAATTTTGAAGAATGTTTTAAATTATTAAAATATTTAAAATTATTAAAACTTATTAAATAAAAGTTATTAAAGTATATATTCCAAGCATAATTCTAAGGTTCAAGTGCCACAGTATAGTATTAGCATCTTATCTAATTCATGGATCCTTGTTGTTAAAGCATCCACATTGTGAAACCGGTCATAGAAACCAGGGTTAAATGTCGATGTAAATAGGGCTGTTGTTATATGTAATTCTAAAAGTACACGTATTTCGCCAATATGAGTTGTGTTATTTTGTGGTTATTAATATGGTGTGCGTTTCCTAATATGGGCATTTATACTACATATGTACTACACTGTGCATTGGTCCGATATGAACTCATAAGTGGTTTATGAGCTGAAGTACTCATGGCCTGTCCATAATGTGTTTACTTTATATTGTTCAGAGCTGAGGCATGAGGTGGGACAATATTTGGTTCAAGTGAACCAGTTGTTTCTTACAGAAACTGTGTTCTAGGCCAGATTCCAATCTCAGTTTGACTCCACACATAACACAGTCAGAGAACATGCCAAGTACGAATGCCCTGTCACAGCTGCTGCTACAACCTACCCAACCAAGAGAGCCAGAAGCGGTAACAGGAAAATGTTCATCAGATGCGAGGTAGGCTTCCTAATATTGTAACAGAACATACCCATCATCTTGATCCATGTACTTTATTTCATGTCTCACGGGTGTGTTGCTACCTGGCAGGTGTTCCTCTGTACCTTTCTTTCCCCCTTGTTTTCCCAGCATGCTATATGTCATGTTCTAGAATGATGGGCTACTTTGGTTTTCATCTAACTAGGTCTATTCTCAGTTGCTTACCATCAGTTGGTGAAGTTGTTTAGTAATTTTATCTTGGTCTTGTGTGTTTGTACATTATGTTTTGTGTGTGCTCGCGAAGACTGATGAGGGCAAGAGAGCATTGATGCAACATTATTCACTTTTGTATTTAATTATCAATATATTTAAAACTCTATATTGATTATGAATTGGGTGTACACTGTTGTTCTCAGAGCACAAATGTTAATTATTCAGCAAGAAGCCATTTTTGTACCAGTGCACATCCATATTGTGATCCCAGAACGTGGTTGTTTTTTTTTTCTTGAATATGGATTTCTCTTTTGTTGGTTTTGTTTCTTGGCAAATGTTTCTTTCTACAGGTATGTGCTGTTTAGCTTCTTGTGACACATTGCATTGCATGAGTAATGCAGTATTTAGCTGCTATTTCCCACTGGAGCTTTTTCAGGCCCATCTTAACACAACCCATTTCTGAGCTGATTCATTACCTGGTGACAAGGAAAGACTTCTGTGTGATGAGCTTGGCAGTCTAGGTAGCCTTTCAGATTTTAATGTTTGGGGTTGAGACAATGTAGTTGCATGGCTGAAATTCAAGCCTGAAAATGGGGCCAGCGTGTTTCTCTGAAATATCAGTATCTGCTTGCAAGGTTACATAGCGCTGCAATCCTCATTGCAATTGATATCAGTTTATTTCACATACAGATCAATTGTTGACAGAATTAATCACCAATTCAGATACTACACTTCATGGCTGTAAGTGATATTGTAGACATAGTGAAGCCAGTCAAAATGTAGACTCTACAGAAAAGAATATTTTTTTCTTATATTTTGTTTTAAAATTATAATACTCTTAAGTATGGGCAAACTATGCAGTATTGTTATGACACACAGGGATACTTTCTTTGAACATTATGCATTACTTGGTAAAAGAAAGCACCCCTGATTTAGAGTCTGGTTCTGTCTTTCTTTTCAGGTAGGTGGAAAAGCAGTATATCTTCCTTGTGTTTATAATTTTCCCCAGATCAGTTTCATTGCTTAGTGCAGATCCTACATCATCATCATCGGTAATCTGTCAGGCGACAGGTCCACAGTCTCTTCCAAAACAATTCCTCTGCTTAATGCGATATAGAGCTTTCTCCTTCAAATGACAGTATCCTCTTCTGTCCCCAAGGTCATCCAGCATCTTCTTACGTCTTCTTCCTCGTCTTCTTGTCACTTCTATCCGCCCATCTATCTTTCCTTCGATAGCTTCTTTTAGAAGGCAGTTTCTGCGTAAAACATGACCAATCCAATTAGCCTTCCGTTTTCTTATTTCATGTAGGATATTCCTCTGCTCACTGACTCTAATTAACACTTCTTCATTTCTCACATAATCGGTCCAACTGATCTTCTCCATTCTTCTCCAACACCACATTTCGAAACTTTCCAGATGTTTCTGATCTACTGCCCTAAGTGTCCATGTTTCAGCCCCATACAGAGCTATGCTCCAAATGTAGCATTTCACTAGTTTCTTCCTCAAATTTAAGTCCAATTTGCTGGTAAAAAGATTCTTCTTCTTGCTAAATGCAGCTTTTGCCATGGCAATCCTGGATTTAATTTCACAAGTACACCTTCCATCATCTGTTAACAAGCTACCCAAATATTTAAAACATTTCACATTCTCCACTTGTTTTTGGTCTATCTTTATTGTGACTGGGGTTGGTTGTCTCGAAATTTTCATTACTTTTGTTTTCTCCACATTCATTTCCATGCCATAGCACCTTCCAATTTCAATTAGTCTATCAATCATGCCCTGTAGCACAGTTTCTTCCTTAGCCATTAACACAAGGTCATCTGCATATTTCACAGTTTGAATAATTTGCCCTCCTACTTTGAAGTCACCGAGCCCATCCAGAGCTTCCTTGGTAAGGCATTCGCTGTACAAGTTGAACAGAATTGGTGATAAACAGCATCCTTGTCGAACTCCTCTTCCAATCTGCACACTTCCTGTCTCCCCCCTGTCCAGTCGTACTCTAACTTTCTGATCCATGTACAATTTGCTAATCAATCTTCTTTCATGCCAATCGATACCTGTTTCTTTCAGGATCTGCATTAATTTGGTCCAGTTTACCCGGTCAAATGCCTTCTGCCAGTCTATGAAGCAAACACACAGTTCTTCATCTATCTCCAAAGTTCGTTCCGCTATAATTCTCATCATCCCAATTGCATCCCTGGTTCCTTTTCCTCTTCTAAATCCAAACTGATCTTCTCCAAGTACATCCTCTATTTTCCTTTCAATTCTTCTTTTAAGTATCTTTGCTATTATCTTTGCTGTATGTGCAATAAGACTTATTGTGCGATGGTCGCTGCATTTTGTAGCTTTTGTCTTTTTCTTTAAGGCAATCATTGTAACTTCTGTAAAGTCCTTGGGCCACTCTCCACTTTCATATATGGTGTTCATTAGTTTTGTCAGTGTTTTCAAACCACCTTCTCCCAGTAACTTGAGCACATCTCCAGGTACATCATCATCTCCTGTAGCCTTTCCCTTCCTCATTTCCTTGATAGCTTTTTCCACCTCACTTTGTAAAATATATGGTCCTTTCTCGTCTGTATCTACTTCTTCTTCCGGTTCAACTTCTAAGGTTTCTGGCCGATTAGGTCGATCATATAGTTCTGAAATATAATTTTCCCAAATTTTCAGCACTTGCCTCTGATCTACTATTCTATTCCCCTGGGAGTCTTCGATGCCAACATTTTGAATCCCATGATTCTCTTTCCATCCTAGTTCTTTTGTCTTCATGTACATCAAATCATAACGGCCTGTTCTTTGAAATTCCATAATCTCATTACATATCTTCTCAAGATATTCCTTTTTGGCCCTGTCCGTGGCTCTTTTCAATTCATTCCTCAGTCTCCTGTATTTCCTCCTGCCTTCTTCATTGTTGACATTCTTCCATTTCCTTCGCTCCTCCATTTTACTCATCATCTCCTGTGTAACCCATGGTTTTCTTGCTATCTTCTCAACTTTACCAACCAAATCACTGATAGAATCTAACATGCATTCTTTTATATTGTTCCACTGCGCTTCAGCATTTCCGCTTTCACCTTCAATTGCACCGAGTTTCTCTTCTAGGGTCTCTTGCACGCTTTGTCTTTGAGCATATAACTTCTCCAAATCCCATCTGGGTCTGCGCTTTCGAAATCTTATAATTTTCTTCAACCTGGTTCGGAACTTGGCAACCAGTAAGTTGTGGTCAGAGTCAATATCTGCCCCAGGAAGCATCTTCACATCCTTCACACTGTTTCTGAATCGATGTTTCACAAGGATGTAGTCCAGCTGATGGCTCTTCCAATCCCTAGGTGCCTTCCATATGTAAATTCTTCTCTTTGGCTTCTTGAACCAAGTGTTGGTGACAATCAGTCCATTTCTTTCACAAAAGTCAATAAGCATTTGACCCCTGTGATTCCGTCTTCCTAGTCCATGTGATCCAACAATATTCTGATATGATTCATCTCCAACAATGCTATTCCAGTCTCCCAATATGATGCTGTTTCTGTCTCCTCTTCCATCTTCCTGAAGAATTTCTTCAATTGTGTCATACACTTTTTCCACTTCATCATCTTCATACTCTGATGTCGGCATGTACACTTGCATAATCAGTATATATACAGGTTCCGCCTTTAACTTCAGAGCAATAATTCTGTCATTACAAGCAATCTTCTTAACAACACTCCTCACTACACTTTTATGCATCACTATTACCACACTTCTTTCAGCCCGTTCACCTCCGGAATAATACACCATAGAATCACCACTTCTTATTTTGCCTTGTCCTTTCCATCGCACTTCACTGACACCTAGAACAGACACCCCATTCTTCTCCATTTCCATTTTCAAATTCTCCAATTTGCCTGCTTGATTCAAGGTCCTTACATTCCATGTTCCAATCTTGTATCCATGATGTTTCTTCTGATCTTCGCACTTTTTCATGTTGTAACGCCTGCATGACATTTCCTCTAGAAACACTCCCCCCCCGGAGATCACAAAGAGAATATTAAAATTAAATCCACGAAAAGTGCTCCTGTTCAAAAATTGCTTAGTGAATTTTCTAATAATAGCTTTTCACAGTTTTCCTTTGATTTATGCGAAGCCTTTTTAGCGCTGATATTCCGCTGTGGAAACTAACTCATCCTACTCTGAGAAACTTCATAGAGAAGTATACACAGTGCAAAGTGCCGGATGAATCTACTGTGCGCAAATATTACGTGAAGCAGTGTTACGATCTTACAGTTGATAGCATTAGAGATACGATTCAAGATAATTTTGTGTGAATATCAATTGACGAAACACAAGATTGTGAGGACCGGTTTATTGCAAATTGTATAGTTGGATCCCTTAATAAGAATGAACACTCTACCCAATATCTTCTTCTTGCAGTAGAGCAATTTGAAACCACAAATAGCTCGGCAGTTTCCTGATTTTTTATCAATTCCATGAATTTATTATGGCCGAATGGCATTCAGTATGAGCGCGTATTGCTCTTTGTGACTGATGCCACAAGTTATATGATGACAGCTGGTACTGCTCTTAAAATTATATTTCCAAACATGACACATGTGACTTGCCTTGCCCACGGGTTGCACCGTGTTGCAGAAACAATTCGTGCAAATTTTCTGCTTGTTGACAAGTCTGTGTCTTTTGTGAAGAAGGTATTTGTTACAGCGCCATACAGAAAAGAAGCCTTTAAAGCAGTAGCACCAAGCATTCCACTTCTGCCAGAACCAATTTTAACGCTCTGGGGCACGTGGCTATTTGCAGCGAGTTATTATACGGAACATTTTTAAACAGTTAGGAATGTCGTGAATACATTTGATCCCAAAAGTGCAGCATAAATTCAAATTGCCCAAGATGTACTAAAAAACGCATAACTAGAAACTAATCTTTCTTATATATCTGCTCACTTCTCTCACCTTCCATCCGACATTTCCTCGCTGGAGGCAAGCAATAGCAATACTACTTTGTATCAGTAGTTAAGTGTGTTCAGAATCACTGTTTCCAAATCGAATTCGGTTCCTGGAAGAGTCGGTGAAGTAGTAAAGGAAAAAGTACACAGCATTCTTTAAAAAAATCCAGGATATGAACAAATTTGTGAAATTGAAGAAATTTTAGCTGGTAAACGTACTGAACTGCCAAGTGAAATATCACTAACACTGGAGCAAATAGCGGCTTTTGTACATGCGCCCCTAAGTTCCTGTGAAATGGAAAGAAATTATTCCCGCTATAAGGACATGTTACGAGACAATAGGAGGCCACTAACTATGGAAAACCTAGAACATTTAGTAATTGTGAACTGCAACAGAAGAGAAGTTGAAAGTTCGGAGAGCTAAATGTGAGTACCATTGGTTTTTTAAATTTGTAATGAAATATGTTGGCTTTGTTGCATGATTTGTATTTAAGTGTAGCTTTTTATTGCAAATGAATCATTCAGTGATTACATGAAATGAACTTAAATATTCATTTGTTAAAAATGTAAAATCAATTTTAATATTTGGTATTAATTTTTATGTGCATATTTTAGTGCATATTTCGGAAGTTTTTATTGCATAAATGCATACATATTTAAGGGATTATTATGGCATAAAAATCCGGTCCCTAATAATCAATATATCTACCGGTTCCGCCTTTAACTTCAGAGCAATAATTCTGTCATTACAAACAATCTTCTTAACAACACTCCTCACTACACTTTTATGCACCACTATTGCCACACTTCTTTCAGCCCGTTCACCTCCAGAATAATACACTGTATAATCACCACTTCTTATTTCACCTTGTTCTTTCCATCGCACTTCGCTGATACCTAGAACAGACACCTCATTCTTCTGCATTTCCGTTTTCATATTCTCCAATTTGCCTGCTTGATTCAAGGTCCTTACATTCCATGTTCCAANCTGCTGATGACGCTGCTTCCGGCATCAGTTTTTGGTGTCTCTCTTCGTCTGATGCCTACCCTTTGACCTGTCCAGCAAGGGAGGCCCTGCCAGTAGCTACGCTACCGCTGGTATAGCTCTCAGGGTCCTTGGCATACTCAAACCCCCACACCACGATAAGGTGGAGACACCAACATATAGTATATAAATATATATAAAAGTATGCAGTCTACGCAACAATATTCTGTATTTAAAACAAAGTAGACTCTAATGTATCAATGTTTTTCTTTTATTGATGCTACATGTTTCGACTTTCGACCAATATACTGTGTCATAATCAGGTGTACATTGATACCAGTCTCAGTTGTTGCATTGCATTTAATTCTTCAGTAAGGATCCTTATTGTGCTCTTGAGAGTTTTTAAATGCATAAATTGAATCGCAGTTAAAATTTAAAATACTTGGATAATAAAATTTAAAAATTAATAAAACGTAAAAATTAAAATTGTACAAAAATGGAAATGAAGTACGATAAATCTCTTTAAAACTTTGTGACCGCTACGTGTTGACGTGATTTGCTCTTGGTAGAAGCAACTATAGTGTGGGACGCGTTCATATCAGGATCTTTTCACATAAGTTAGGTTGTGTGGTCTTGACCTTACTATCTATGATCTTGTGGAGCTTATGCTCATTATTCTGTATGTCACCCAACAGGCTGTTTATTTCAGGTGATGTGTATTGATTTTCTTATGAGGATATGCATATGGGTTGCTCCCTGTGTTGATGCTGTCACTATGTTGTAGTGGTTCGGTCTCCTACATATTAGATAGAAACAGCCAGTTGTTTAAACACTCTGTATTTGTTATCATAGAAAATCCATCCATGAAGATATTGAGAACATTTAAAATGTGAAAATTTTGGTTTTAATGGTGGTGACTATGGGATGTGATATGTAGTCCGGTAGAAAGTATACTGACCTTTACCATCTCCATCTTCAGTAATGCTCTCCTTCATTTGTATGCTTAGCTTATTCTTCAGCCAGATTACATGGCATCATATTCCAGAAGACAGTATTCTTAATTTCAAATAATAGTTACAGATCTGAATGAAATGTATATTTGTATGTTATACACCAACAGGCCACTTCTTTAGAAATTAGACTTCAATTTGATTGTCGTGTAATATCGGGGTTACAGTAAATAGATCATTTGAGCTGAAATTAAATATACTCAACAATTTTTGTCATAGACCTCAAATACATGATTTTATCGACACCTGTTGGAATATTTTATGAGATGATGGGGTGATATGATCTGTGCTATATATTAATATGTTGCTTTTCATGTAAAATATAATATCATAATGTTTACCATATTGGGGTCACTGTTTTCTGTGTTTGCAGTACATGTGAAGTTCTGGAGAGTGAAGAGAACACTGGTGTGGTTAAGGCAACAGGTGCTCCTGTTGTAAAGAGAGAATTCAGTTTCATCTGATATCACTAGGACATATGCCAATGATGAGGAATCTTCTGTATCTCATGACTAGTCAGTGTGTAGAAAGTGCATGGGTGTTACATAATACACAGCCTTGCATCCACAAGTCTCTTTAGTTCCTAGTTATGGAGAAAGTCAGTGGGCCTAGAAGTGATACAAGTCTTCCGACTGCAAAGAATAGTTTTCTTCTGAAATTTAAACTTTTTGACACTTTCTAATATTTTCTCATGATGCTTACAATCGGATGTCGTGTATCTAAATGACAACTTTGTTTTTCAGAAATGAATCTGAAAACAATAGGATTGTACATGCAAACAAGACAGTCATTTTTTCAAGTCATTCATAGTCAGTCTGAAATGTCATTTGATACTGTATAATCTCAGCAGTTGGTAAAGTGTCATGAAATAGATAAGCAAGACTCAAGCATATCTACCATATCTGCTATTTAGGGTTTGTCACATGGTCCTAACACAGTGAACTCTAGTACAGATTACAGCTTGTGGTGTACTGGCAGCACATGCAGTACATGAAAGGTCAAGACCAAAGTCAAAGTCAGTCAGTTATCACTGATATGTCTTAATGGTTACATTATTTACCCTGCATGCACTTTAACCAGTACCAACAATCGCTTACCATGGCAAGAGCTAGTCTTATTATGTCATAATGATGAAATTTTGTGTACCTTTACTCACCATTGTCTCTTCTAGTACTGTTTCATTAGAAAGCTTTTATGTTCTTCAGGCTAGCAAGATCTAACATCTGCTGTGCCTTGGGAACAGCTTAATCCATGAATGAAATTCACTTCAGGAACCCTCTCCAGTTGTTGATTAAGTTGGAAGCTTGCTTCTGATCTGGTATTTGGTTGGTTACAGAGTAAGGAAGTTAGTTTTTAACTGGCATTTCCTCCATACCAGATACTGTCTTGAAATGTTTCGATTATAAATAATTATGTAATGTGAGTAGTAATACTTTTATTATAGAAAACATTTTGTTGTCTATTGGCATCTTAAAATATTGTGACATGCTGGATGAAAGCGAGAAGAGGGGAATTGCAAGAGGTGGCTGTTGCTAGGCAAAGGCTGGTAAACAAGTTCCTGCAGCAACAGATTCATGACACAACAGAGGAATTGTTGGGTGTTTTCTATGAAGTCCATGCTGTGGTGATATAACGAGAGCCAGCAGTAATTTAGCAGTCATTTGATTGGTGAGCCAGCCTTGAATTGGAGGTTGGAGCCAACAGTTAGTTGATGGTTAGTAGTTGCAACTGAAGGGTGCCAGCTGGCAAGGATGTTAGCATGGAAGCAGAGGAGTATCCATTGTTGGGAGCCACTAACAAGCAATGGGCACATGAAGACAGCAGACTGGGAAGATTTAGTGTATGCTATAGTAATTTGTAGTGTGTGTAATTAGTTGCAGCATTATAATTCTTTGTAGTTACAAGTTATTAGGGTTAAGTAAGTCCAATTATGAATCCAAACCTTGCATCTAGTCACTAACATGTGACAGTATAGTAGGAAGGTTAGTGAAATGACAGGTGATTTATGGTGACTATGATATAGATGCAGTATAGGAAAGAAAAATAACACGTAACTGATAAACGAGAGGTAGAAGGCAGGGTTGACCCCAAATGTAAGCATCACCCCATGAAGGTGTATGATGGATATAGAGGTAACAAACACTACATTCTCCACCTTGGCAGTGCAGTACATAGAGTTGAACAATGACCTGCAGAGTCTGGCAAATGTTTCCCAGGGAAAGAGATCCCTTTACCCACTGGACAGGAGACTATGTGGGGTCCCCATAGTAGGTCTGAATATAGCAGGAAAACATAGAAGTCCCTGCCTTAGCTGGGAATTGAACCCTGGCTCTCTAGAATGTAACCACTCACTCTACTTACTGAGCCCTACTAGCTCATGAATGAAGAGAGAAAGTACTGTGACATGATGACTGAAAAATTGTCTGTTGCTAGGTAATGGCTTGATAAACAAGCAAGCTCTTGCTAGGCAGCAGCTTGCTTACATGTCACACAGCAATTGAGGAGCCTTTGGTAATGATGTTTTGTATGCAGCCCATCCCAGGAGCCCCTGGGCGAATAAGTCAGTGATGGCTAGGAGGCCATGAGTTAGTTTGCAAGCCAGCTGTAACTTAGCAACACCTAGTGAAGACTAACCAAACAACCTCTGGAGAAGACATAGAAGACTATGTGTGCTACAGTGTGGTGATTTGTAGAGTGTATTACACGAGGGTCATACTGAAAGTCATGAGCAACAGTTTTTTATAAAGTAACATGCTTTATCATTGACAAACCAAATGCACCACCTCAATCTACAGACCTTTCTTTATTTTACCACATAATCGCCACTTCTTTGTACACATTTCTCCCAGCATTCTGGGAGTTTGAAAATTCCATTCCAGCCATGCGAAGACACTGACGCACTGCTTTCTGAATTGCCTCCATTGTCTCAAAACGTTGTTCATGCAGCTGATCCTTCACAAATCCGAAAAGATGGTAGTCGGAGGGTGCCAGATCAGGGCTATAGGAGGGGTGTGGAAGAACTTCCCACCCCATCTTTGCAATTGCTTCCAATGTGAGACGATCGGCGTGGGGGTGAGCGTTGTCATGCAGGATGATGATGTTTCGTCCTGGACGTTTATCGCGCAATGCATGACAGAGCTTGTGCAGCGTCTGGACATAACGAGCAGCATTGATGGTTTGCCCAGGTTCCAGGAATTCGGCCAGAATAAACCCCTCTGCATCCCAGAAGACTGTGCCCATCACCTTCACAGCTGATGGCATGGTCTTTGTCTTCTTTTTTGATGGAGACTGCAAGTGGTGCCATTCCATACTCTGCCGTTTCGTTTCAGGCTCAAAACAGTGAAACCAGCTTTCGTTACCTGTCACAATACAGAGCAAAAAATTATCGCCTTCGTGTCAATATCTCTCCAGCATTTCTGAGATTATGGCTTTTCGCTGACCTTTATGGTCTTCGGTCAATAACCGCGGGACCCAACAAGCACAGACATTCCTATAGCCCAAGCTTTCAATCAACTCCTGTACTGCACTATGCCCTGTTCCAAGTTTTCGGGCTATTGTGTCCACAGTCACACGCCTGTCATCTTCAATGATCTCATCCACTCTTTCCTTGTTGCATTCAGTTGAGGCTGTTCGAGGACGACTGCTCCGAGGCTCAGCTTTGATTCTGGTGTTCCCATCTTTAAATGTTTCACCCATCTTCGAACACTGCTCACACCCATGCACAGACTTCCGTAAGCATGCTGAAGTCTCTAGTGAATTTCTGCAGCAGGGATTTCCTCTTTCACAAGAAATTCGATGACAGCACACTGGCGAAACGACATATGGTTGTCGGCCATTTTTGTTAGGAGTGATACTGGTCACGTGATGTCAGCTATTGACGTCACAAGACACCCAAGGTTAACACAACAGCTGGTTCCACCTACTACCATACTCTCTTTCGTCTGCTGTTCCCAGGTTGCATGCAAAAAAAAAGGCTCATGACTTTCGTTACAACCTACATAGTTACATGTAGTTACAAGTTATAAGTTTTCAATAAATCCGGTTACCGTTCCAAACCCCATGTATAGTCACTAACATGTGACTGTACTAATAATTAGAAGACATGTATAATTCAGAATCATTTAATTTCAACTCGCATTGAATCAGAATTGCTATAATCTTCACTATTTCTGAGTGTAGTAGCATCACAGTATGATGCCCTATATACCAAATTCCTTATGGCACCAAGCCACCATTTAGACATAATTTGTTATTTATTTTCTTTTCAGGTTTTCTTATTAGAGATTTCTGCTGAAATGAAATAAGTATTTGGAAATGCTGGTAAAAGTTTATGTGAAATGTGATGGGTGTGTAGTGGATATTTTTATACAGAGTTTGTATGCTATTGCCCACTAATTGCATCTGGTCTCTCTTTCATCCTGCTTCCTTGGAATTACTGTACCGTGACAAAATTCTGTGTTATATCTTCAAGTGTTTATTTTGTATAACCATTTTTGTAATCATATCATGTTAAAATAGTCTGTTGATGTCCATTTTAAGTTCTTATAATCAAATTTTTCTGTGCGTAGATTATTTTTGTTGTATGTGGCATATGTAATTTAAAAATTTAAATGAAAAAATAATTGACTGTAGCAGTCAGTGGGTTGAATATCTCTAGAGGGTAACAGATGATACAGTTTGCAAACTTCTCTGTGATTATAAATGGAGCCAGAACAGGACAAACAGTGACTTTGCAGGTGGAGGAAGATATAACCTGTCAGAGTGAGAACAGGATGAACTGTGACTTAAATCTGTGATGTTGATAACAGAATATCCTAAAATTTTGTAGAGGAGTGTACATATGCAGTAAACTGCCTTATGTTTTAGCCTACTTTTCTTATTTTGGAAAGATAAAAGTAGGTATATGAGATCACCTCAGTCTTTGTATATGTATACCCCCCTATGAACTTCAAAATGCCTGAACCAGTCTTTATGAAATTTACTGTGTGTATCATGGCACCTGAGTCCATCTTAGCGGGCTTGTTCGTAAAAACCTCCCATCAGTATCATTACTAGGCAACAGCTTTGGAGCATGTTTCTCAGACTGTTGCCTAGCGATGAATATATGCAACAGTAGTTGCTGGATGCGTTGTTTTCTGTGCAGTCCATGTTATATCAAAGGAGAATCTGTGAATCTGTCAGTGTACCCCCTGTTCTGGCTAGACAGTGGCTTAGTAAACACATTCCTATGGCAATGAAAAATTGTTGGAGGTATCTTTTCTATGGAGGCCATTTCATATCAAAAGGAAATAGGCAATTAATTCTTCCAAGAACTTCTTTAGAATGAAACAGTATGTATGTATATGCCCTAAAACACTTGCTTTAAAGGTAAAGGATACAAAGATAATAACATGTGCAGGATATGTTCCAGAGATTTTACAGTTTCTCTAGGAAACACTCCAGACTATTCCTAGACTAACATTTTAATCTCTGATGAAACTATAAATCAGTACAAAACTGGTGTTTTATTGTTGGATTGGTAATCATATCATCATCATAAGTTGGCAACATTTATGCTTATTGTTTTTTTTATACATCCGTTTCCGCTCTCTAATAAATGGAAGACGTGTGAAAGCAGTATGTTCCACACACGGACAGTGTATCTTAATTCAGCCACCTTTCCTGACATTATTTCATCAGGTTATGGGCCCAGGACGTTTTGAACTGTGAGTGTGTATAATAGAAAGATTTGTAATCTGCTGGTGGGTCGTACTTCTTATTGCCTATGTGTTGTGAGGACATTGCCAACGATGTCGAATGACGAAGCAGGAGCAAGTGCATTGCTTGCCGGGATCCAAAAGCTGAAGGGAGTCGTGAACTACCAGGACTGGAAGTTTCAAGTACAAAATTATCTAGAACACAGGAATCTATGGAGTGCAGTTACAACAAGTGGAACTGAGGTAGGTGAAACTGTGACAACAGATAAGGATCGACGTGCTCGTACTTCCATCTGCATGCTGCTAGAGCCGATTTGTTTTGCCAAAGTCTGCACAGCTACTACTGCAAAGCAAGCATGGATGAAGCTGAAAGAAGCCTACGAAGATAAAGGCTGGGATAGGAAATTACGGCTATAACAGTGTCTTTGGAACTGTAAGTTAGAAACGTGTTTGTCGATGGATGACTATGTGACTAAAGTCTTGAACTTATCACATCAGTTAGAGGATGTCGACGTCAAAGTAAGTGACAACTGGAAAATATGGATACT